TGGGACAAAAATTGGGGGCCAAATAGGAGAAAAAGTCTTTTGTGGGGTCGCCTGTGATTTTGTTGCAGTCAGAAAACTCAGGGCTTCACCTAGCTGTGTTTTAGGCTCTCAAAGATATCAAATACAGGAGGCTTGAACTCCACAAACAACGTTGAACAGCAATTCTTGAATAAACTCTGAAAATAACGGAGTTAGGCAAAAAGAAGAATCCGCAAACGCTGTTGAAATTTTCTCTTAGGTTCGTTGATTGGGCTTTAAAAACACCTTGGAATGCGGAGTCCTCAAAGTTTTTGGTGCTGGCAAAAACATGAAGGACAAAACCGTGACTTATACTTTTTTAGGGAATTTGAATCTTCGGCAGAAATCTTTAACATAAAAAACGTTCTTCAATTTTAATATGAAAAAAATTATAGAATCTTTAATTTTTTTTTGTGTATTACGCGACAGAATTTTAAGTCGTTTTTCAATTAATTATTGCTTCACTATATGCTGGCCTGGCAATGATGTCCCATTCAACAAAATTAGAATTTAAATTTAGATGGAAGAAACATCTTTTTTTTCACAAAGGAGTTTTTAAAGAGTCAGTGTTTTTTAATGATAAGCCAAATAGAAATTAATTGGTAAGTTTTTGAGACCTAAGAATATTTCGTTTGAAATGTGAGAGTCAAATTTAAATTGTTACCACTTTGTAAATTTGATTTCAAACTGCTTTGGTTTTTAGGAAAAAAGATGATCAATAGGTTGGACTGTTTGGGTAAAAAAATGCAATACCAATAGTCACCCGCTACATGATTATTATTTTATTATTTTGTGCCAATATCGATTGCCGAATGCAGATGGCCCATATGTTTAGATTAGACAGCAAAATTGACTGACAAACAGATTCGAAATTGAGCTTCCAAAAAATCTGTGTAACGGTGTAACAATTATTAACAACAATTTTCCGGTCAATATATTTTAATTTGCAATATTTTTTTACAAATTTTTTAATTGCACTTAAATTTTAGCGACTGGAAAAACTGTAGGTTGTCTTTCAAAGAATCATTCATCAAAGAATCAGCAAGTTATAGCTTGAATACTTTAGTTGCCAAATGTTTTTTTCTTTTTGTGAGGAAACTATGACGTAGGGTGTGCTTGTTCGTCCCAATTATAATTACCGCATGAAAATTATTAGCGGCCCAAGTTTTGTATCATTTTTGAACATCTGAACCATAGTTTGGATTCCAGACAAAATTCTTACACCGCTGAAAAAAAGTAATATATATATATATATATATATTTTCATTTAGACTAATTTACCGACAATAGAAAGGAGTTACTCTCAATCTGATGGCTGCTTTTAGTTTGTTTTGCTTGTTTTTTAAAATGCTTTGCCAAATATGTTGAAGAAAAAAAACAAAAGTTGAAAATTTTGTAGCAGAATTTCTTTTCCGGAGTGATTGCTCTAATTTGACTATATGGGCTGCCTGCATAGTAATGTATACAGCGTTTTATAACTTGCTCGTTCAGTTTACTTAATAATTAAATCTTTTCTTAGAGAGAGAGAGAGAGAGAGAGAAAGAGAGAGAGAGAGAGAGAGAGAGAGAGAGAGAAAGAGAGAGAGGAGATGAGAGAGAGAGAGAGAGAGAAAGATTATGTCCTCCATAAAGTTTTTGGCTACAAAACAGGTCATTTTGATATATTTTGTCTGCAATTGAATCTGTTTTGATTGATTAAAAAAAATCAAAAAAAATCGTTTTGGGCCCTTTCTATGCGAAATAAATTGCATCTTCGTACTAATGCCAGGGGGAGGGCGGTTAATTCATCATTCTGCTATAAATCAGACTCAATGAATTTTGTCATAACAATTGGTTCAAACTCAGTACACCACACGAACAAGCACACGATGGAATTTGAATTTAAGTAGAAAAAAGAACCTCTATAATTCCGTTTTACTTTTTAAAAGAGACCGGCAAATAGAAATATTATCGCTCAAGACCTAAAAAAATTTAATTCTGGCACACTTGAAACTGATAAAATTTCGGCCAGCTCGACCAGGAACGAATTCTGTTAAACTTAAATATTTGGTAACCAAGTTTGGTCGAAACATAAAAACGATATGTCAGGCCGGAAATGTGGCACTGCTAGATTCAACGGAAAAATTTTATTTCTGATTTTATGCCGGCTTTTAAGCTTTCACTCTTGATGATCATTACATTTTTCCCTGGGCAAGCAGTTCATCGAGCACATTCATCGAGTTTGCAAACTACTTTTTTTCAAAAATTAGTGACATATTTTGTTTGCGTAAAATCTCTAAAGATGCGTGATTTTGGGAATAGCTTGAGATTCGTGAAGCAAGACAAGGAGTGTATTACTACGGCAGTTGATGATATTTCATTTTTAAAAAAATGTGTTTCATTCAAAAAACTGGACTCAATTTGTCAGTATTTTTCCGGACTAGCTGTTGAAAGGTGGATGCGAAAAACGTATGCATGTGTCAGCTTTTTTTTCTTATAAACAAGTACATAACACGGTACAAAAAAGATTATAAGCTCTTCTTTTGATGCAGTTTTAAGCCAGTTTTTTTTACACCATTGTTGACTGAAATGAGGTTAGTTTGAATGAATTGACTTCTTTCAAGTTTGTAATAAAATTAAATTTTATAAACACTTTTGAAATTATTCCAAAGTAAGGAACGACTTGGGACAAAAATTGGGGGCCAAATAGGAGAAAAAGTCTTTTGTTGGGTCGCCTGTGATTTTGTTGCTGTTGAACACATTGGAGTGGTAGTGGACTGCATAACTGCATCGGAACAATCTGTTCCATTCAAGCTCCGATCGGGGTCTCCGAGGCCATAGCTCTTCTTTGATGCGGCTGAAGG